GGACTGCGTAAACATATCTGGTGTTATTTTTTACGCTTTTTACAGTTACAGCATTCTGCCCAGTAGGCGCTGTAACGCTCTCTACATCATCTGCTTCTATGTGTGCTTGTGACAGAGAAGTGCTATAGCACACTGTCCGTCATCTGTTACTGGACAGTGCTGCAGCGTCTTCTCTACAGCATAGTGGATTGATTTGTTTGCATAGCTCTTAATTGGTGATTTCGCTGCGCCCCCACAAACTTACAAGGTCATGGGGAGGTATCTCAAGTAAAACTACATATCGACTAGTGCGGGGTTCCAGCCTAGTCACGACTTAGTCTCTAATCTGTTGTATAATCTAGTAGGTCAAGTGTTTTTCTAAATGTCCCCAAGTAACTATTCAAAGTGAAATTTTTTCCTCAATGATTTTAATTATGCAAAAAGTTTTTTTAAAAAAAAACAAAATTAAATAACTTAAAATGCCCGAAATATATCTAAATGCTATATACGTTTACTCGTTATTTGCCACTCAGCTTATGCTGAGCGTGTAGTGTTTAACTGCATGCAGGTATACTAGTAAGGAGAATAATTGCTGAGGAGGAAAGCTAGGACGAGGAGGCCGTGCTAAGAAAGGAAATTCTATTTTAAATAAATAATTGAATAAATCATTTCAAATATTTTGGTTTGGGCTTGAACCCCAAGTTGTATTTACTTATGAACGTTATTACTCTTTTACTTACTCGCAAAATCTTAAACTCTTGATTATCAAAATGAGAATTTATTTTAAATAAGTAATGTTTTACTAAGCAACCGAGTTTTACTGGCACTCTATTCTGGATGACTCGGGTCATCCAGGGTGGGGTGTTACAGCTATCGAGTTCTTTTTTATGGAGATTGACTCCATAGGATGATAAGAATTAAAGGGAGTAAATGATGAAAATGATTAAGGACATGATCTAATTCTTTAATTTGATATGATGGACTAATAAAAAAGAAACGGTTTCCTTCTCATAATTATTCAATTGACTTGTATGTTGCGACTATGAATCATCTTATAGAACATACGTTGTGGTACCACTCATCGGTTTCGCTGAGCGTACAGTTGTCTTTGTTGTATGAGTGTGCATAGGTTAGAAATGTGATGGAGCCAATCCTGGAGAGCGTTGAGGCAGAAGAGATGGCGGCATGGCATGGGAAATTATTCCATTTTATTATCTTTTCTTGAATCAAGTTGAACATTTTCTGGTCTTGAACCCACGTGTATACTCTTTTAAATTATTTCAGGTTCTGTAACGTTTTATTTTATTCCCTACTCCGAAACTATATTTGATATTGACATTTTGAATCATTGAATTATTATTATTATAAAAATGTTTTCTTCAAGCTATGGATGTTACTTTACCAATCTTGCTAACGCTTCGGTCAACTAATTCTCGTGAACCGGGTTACGCAGATCGGGGTGTGACATACTACCTCTATGCAGAAATAATCTTCCTTCTCTACCCTTTTTCATTCGGAATTAATCTTCTCATTCTACCTTTTTCCAATTCTTCGAAAAATACCCTTCTCTATATCAACCACTCCATTTTTCTACTCCTTGTCTACTACTTACTTCTCCAGTCTCTTTGAATCTTCATCCTTTGTCATCATCATCATCTTCCTCCCCCCCCTCCCTCTCTCTCTTTTCTCGTCATTTTTCTACATATCGGATATACACCTTTTTTATCTTCTTCTTCTTCTTTCTCTTGATTCTTTGTCCCTCAGATTTGTCAGATCTCTGGTGGCTAATCTTTTCGTGTATGTTCTTCTTCTTATTTTTTCTCCTCCTCTTTTCCCACAATTACGCTTTCTCCTCCCTTTTCTTTTATTCTCAGACATGGTGACGGTAGGGATGCAATTTTTCTTCTCCTTTCTTCATTCAATTTTTTAGATGTAACATTTTGGGGCAGGGCGATGGGGATGACGACAAAGGAGGGTTGACGGTGGTGGCAATAGGATAGAGGCGAGGGGGGAACTAGTGGTGGTGGATGGTGGTGGGGGCTGACAAAGGTCGGAGCAAGGGGTGGTGGACTGCTAGACTATGGGGTGGGACATGAAGGGCAACGAGTATTTTAGACAAATTACACATATAGTCAACTTCCAATAAAAATGAGAAAAAGTCAAATTGGGAAGTTTTTTTTGGAGGGAGTATGTGATATATTAATTAAATAAAATTATATTTTGAAAATATTTTTAAAAATAAATATAATAAATTTATTTTTATATCAACATCTAACATTAGTTTTATTTAATTAG